GTAATATTCACAAATTCCTTCAATTAATTATATTGCACATTCCTTCTAAAGTATATGCCAAGGCCAGGTACAGTGGCTCACACCTGTAATCCCAACACTTTGGGAGGCTGAGGTGGGTGGATCATCTGAGGTTGGGAATTTGAGACCGGCCTGACCAACATGAAGAAACCCTGTCTGTACTAAAAATACAAAATTAGCCAGGCATGGTGGCCCGAGCCTGTAATTCCAGCTACTCGGGAGGCTGAGGCAGAATAAAACTGCTTGAACCTGGGAGGTGGAGGTTGCAGTGAGCCGAGATCACGCCATTGCATTCCAGCCTGGGTAACAACAGCAAAACTCCAACTCAAAAAAATGAAAGAAAGGAAAAGAAAAGAAAGAATATGCCTATGTATTTTTTCTTTTCTGTTGCTACTGTAAATGAGGTATTTTCTTCCATTACTGCTTATAATAGTTTTTTTGTTGCTGGTTTTTCTTTTTTCTTTTTTTTTTTTGAGACAGAGTCTGCACTATCATCCAGGCTATAGCCCGGTGGCACGACCTTGGCTCACTGCAATCTCTGCCTCCTGGGTTCAAGCAATTCTTCTGCCTCAGCCTCCCGAGTAGCTGGGACTACGGTGTGTGCCACCATGCCCAGCTAATTTTTTTGTATTTTTAGCAGAGACGGGGTTTCACCATGTTGGCCAGGGTGGTCTCAATCTCCTGATCTCGTGATCCGCCCACCTCAGCCTCCCAAAGTGCTAGGATTACAGGCGTAAGCCACCACGCACAACCCTAGTTTTTAGTTATTCTCTTGGGTGTTTTAAACATACAATCAAATCAACTGTAAACAATGATTTTTTAATATATTTTTTTTTGAGATAGGGTCTTAACTCTGTGGTACAGGCTGGAGTGCAGTGGTGCCATCTTGGTTCATTGCAGCCTCACCTTCCAGGCTCAACTGATTTTCCCACCTTCGCCTCTGAGTAACTGAGACTACAGGCGTGTGCCACCGTACCTGAATGATTTCTTTTATTTTTTTTTGTAGAGATTGGGTTTCACCATGTTGCCACACTGGTCTCGAACTCTTGAGCTAAAGTGATCCACCTGCCTTGGCCTTCCAAAGTACAGGGACTATGGCCTACCTTTTCTTTCCCAATGATAAATATTTTTTTCTCTTACTTAAGTGCATAGTTTGGACACAGTGACTCCTGGCTATAATTCCAGCTCTTTACGAGGCTGAGGCAGGAGGAACTCTTGAGGCCAGGTGTTCAAAGCCAGGCTGGGCAACACAAAGACCCAGTCTCAATAAAAATTTAAAAATTAGCCAGCTGCAGTGGTATATGTGTACAGTCCTAGCTACTCAGGAAGTTGAGGCAGGAGGATTGCTTGAGCTGCAAAAAATATTAAGTAAACACCTATTTAAATCAATGCCCTTTTCAAAACACACACACACACACACACACACACACACACACACACACACACACACAAATGAAGATTTATCATTACTTTTTCATAAGGAATCTAATTCTTACCTAAAATATGACCAGTGGGACAGTGACATTTTCCTTCTGCAGTTAAGCCACTAGGGCAAGAAATGCAGTCCCAGCCATCCTCAGTAACACCTTTCTAAAGTAAAAGAAAAAAATGTTTTTCTCTTTTTAAATTAACCTTCTTTTCCTTAATCATGTAAGTTCAAAATGCCATAAAAGTATATAACTGAAGTGAATATTCAAATAAGTCATACATATATGAGCCACATAAAAATTCCTTGGAGAGATAATTCATGCTTATATCCCAAAATTAAGCTCTATATTATTACTATATCCTGATAACTATTAAAGGATTAACTCTGGATAATAGTTCTCTTCTTCAGGATCTTTAATTCAAATGGATGCCTAATTTCATAATTATTTGTCATTTCGTTTTTCCATTTACAAATATAAAACACAATACAAAAAGATCGAATCAATAGTCAGTTAACAGTTTAATCTTACCTGTCTAAAACATTATTCTAATCAAAAAAAATTCAAATACATAAAAAAAAATTTAGTCCAGTCACAGTGGCTTACGTCTGTAATTCCAGCATTTTGGGAGGCCAAGGCAGGCAGATAACCTGAGGTCAGGAGTTTGAGACCAGCCTGGCCAACACAGGTGATTCAAAAAGTGTGAATTTTAAGAAATATAAATTATACACATAGCTGTTAAAATTGATTTATGAGAATATTTTCTTCTATCCACTTATGGCTTGTACTAGTAAAGTTTGTTTTTTTTTTTTTGAGACAAAAGTCTCACTCTGTCACCAGGGTAGAGTGCAGTGGCACAATCTCTGGGTTCACTGCAACCTCTGCCTCCTGGGTTCAAGTGATTCTCCTGCCTCACCCTCCCAAGTAGCTGGGACTATAGGCATGCACCACCATGCCCAGCTAATTTTTGTATTTTTAATAGAGACAGGGTTTCATCATATTGGCCAGGCTGGTCTCGAAGTCCTGAGCCCATGATCCACCGGCCTTGGCTTCCCAAAGTACTGAGATTACAGGCGTGAGCCACCACACCTGGCCTATGTAGGACAATTTTAAAATTACAATAACTTAAACAATGTCACTGAAAAAGAAATCTGTTGTGGGATCACTTTTCATTAGCAGCTTTTTATCATGGGTAATTCAGCTAGGATCAATATTTGCAAAGACGTAAAATAAACATCAAAATGATAATCAGATCCTGTAAATTGGGATAATTGACAACTTCACATTAAATTCCCAGAATTGTTTTATACGACAATGAGAAGAAACACTGCTGCAAATGTCAGAACTATTACACAGAGACTCTTAATTATCCAAAATGACTGAAAAATATATTTATGTGATTGAAAATTATCATATATAGTAACTTAATTTACTAATTTTTCAAAAATTACGATATGATGAAATTACTAACAAAACAGTAACAGACATTATTTAAGCTATTTATTAATGCAATTGGTATTTCATGAAATAATTACACCTTAGATATCATTATGAACATCTGTAATCATATAAACTATTGACATGGCGGGTCTTATACATTGAACTCCATTTACACCAGTCAAAGAACATACACATCCCAAATTGCACACATCCTAAATTGCTCTATACATGCCTTATCCATTTAATTTTCTTTATAACCAAGTTATTCTACAAGTAAAAACAAAAACTTAAATTTTTACAGCTTTGTGTTTTTTTTGGATTTCAGATCCAAAGTTTTTCCAAGTTTGCATAAAATTTCACTGATCTCCCAAAATTTACTCTGGTAAAAATAAAGTTAGCATAATAATCTTAAAGTCTGTGGGGAAACTGAGTAAACGTTAAATTATAGTTTGAAAAATAAAGTCACTTAACTTGCTACTTTTTACAGTTATTTTAAAATAAATTGTACGCACCATGTTTTCTGGGCACTTTTTACAAATAATAACAGGTCCTCCATTATTAGAGATCATCTGAAATCCTGGTAGACATACACATGAAGTTCCTAAAAAAAGCCAATTTTATCCTTGATAAATAAAAATAAAGTTCCAAGATAGTGAAACTTTTAATAAGTCTGAAGATTCTGAGAAGCAGTATGGTGATTAACAGCAGGACTCTGGAGCCAGTACTGCCTAGGTTCAAATCCAGAAACATACTTCTTCAGTTCCAATCTTGGTACTCCTAGTTGCATGACCTTGAACAAGTTACTAAACTCTCTGCCTTGGCTTCCTCTACAATAAAAAGGAGAAAAAAAAATGGTACCTACCTAATAGGGTTAGTATGAGTATAAAATTAGTTACTATATGTAAAGGTCTTAGACTGGCACACGGTCAGTATTGTGTTTGCTACCATGTTAAGAGCAAGAATAACTAAACTATTAAGCTACTTAACTGCTACGGGAAATTTTACATTTCTACATCACTAAATAATATATATGTATTTAGGCTGGGCGCGGTGGCTCACACCTGTAATCCCAACAATTTGGGTGGCTGAGGTCAGGAGTTCAAGACCAGCCAGATCAACATGGTGAAACCC